AAGCGAGTGAAAGGTCCGCCATTTTTTCAAGTTCACAACCAAAACAACTCAACCTCATCCCCAGGTCTTCTCGGTTAACGGTGCCTTAACCTGCAAGAACGCTGCATTTTTGACGTCATTTCCTCGCTAAACACAAAATTCTTCCAAATTTGGTCATCAGTAACTGGTTATGGTGAATTAAACGTGTGCTTTTCGCCAATCAGAATCGGAGAATTATTTTGAATGAATAATAATATTAATTACTGATAAATGATAGACTGTATTAATCAGTCACGACGTAAAGCTTCGTTTGGACTGATCCAGGATCACTTTTATTCACCGGCCGGTAGTTTGGATTTGCTTGTGATCCTCGGCTACTTGACCTTCAACTTCTTGTACTTGAGTTTTTCCACTTTGCTTTCTAGTTCTTCATGGAGAACTGGTACCACATTCTTTGCTAAATTAAATAAGCCCTTTCTCAAATACGCCCCCGCCTCCAATATGTTTAAAATAGATAATCTCCCGGGGGCTTAATAGAGAATTTAATAACAGATAATAATAACATAATGTCTTTTTAGCCACTGGGGGGATAGGGGGTTTAGCGTGTTCTTTATGCCCTATGCACCAGGAATTTAGTAGGTTTTTGTTTTATCGTGAAAACAAATTCCCGGAGTATCCCAGGCGTTGACCCTCGGAAAAGCCGTTAATAAGTGCATTAGTTTCAATAGAGGTGCCCATGGCCACGCAGCGTTAAATGGAAATTATTATCGCAGCAACCGCGATGTTTCATGTCGACAGTCATACTAAATAATTATCTCTTTTGTTTAACAGATGTCTTGGAACTGGACAAGCTTAGTATTGTTTCTGAACCAAGTCTAAAATCCGCACATGAGGGAGAATCCGTTGAAGGCCCTAAGGACAACAATTCCAAGGATCCAGGTGAAGTGACTATGGCAACAGAGTATAAAGTGAGAGTCATTCGCGCAGCAACCATGAAGTTTGAAGCTGAGCACGAGGAATGTATTCGTGTGTTGCCGTATGAAAAAGATGGTCACGTTGTGGTTCAGTTATATGTGTATAGTAGGGAGTCAGGTATACCAAAAGATTTAAAGGAAGAAGCCCGAACGTTTTTTGTAGACATGAACGTGAAACTGGAATGGTTAGATCTGTATAACAACAGCGTCAACATACTGAATGTTCAACGACTCGAGTATTCATTTGGCGAACCCAAGTCACTGACTGCTTCTCAGGTTGATGAAATGAATGAAGTGATTGAAAATAATCTTCCTGAACTTTCTAAGCACCGCAATGTAACCTCTGTGCAGGCCTCTTTCAAAATCACAAATTTTAAGCAAACAGGTAAGCCCTGTATTACGATTTATGTGCTCGGTAAGGGCCTAATTCCATTTGGCGAGTCTGCATTTCCAGATTACGTTGACGGGTACCCCGTGGATGTTGTGAATGGATTCTGGAGAAGAGCCATATTCATTAACACCCAAGAGAGTCAAAGAGAGGCACAAGAGCAACACGACGTGCTTAAATTAGGAGCAAGCATTGGCGTAAAGGAAAAGCTAGCATCGGGGACACTAGGTGCTGTTGTGAAGAGCGGTACCACTTTTTATGCTCTGTCTTGTGATCATGTAATGAAATCGGAGAAGTCAAAAGATATTGTTCACCCTGGACTTTATGACCACCTAAAGTATCTGAAATCTTCCTTGGAAGGATATATAAGTTGGGTAGATAAAATAACTGGCTTGGAAACCAAGTGTTCACTTGAAACTCTTTCATCGGAAGGTGAACTGATAAAGAAATTCGAAGAGATGAAGTCCATAAAACAAAAAAACGCCGACTGCAGGAGGTCCACCAAGAGAAATCTGAATAATATTGCAATTGTTGAGAAAGCTTTTGAAGAAAAGCTAAATAACCCGCCAAGAAAAATAGGAGAGTACGTCGATGGTTTCAATGATAATGTTGAATGGACTGATGGCAACGAATATTATATCGATGCTGCCATTGCAAAGTTGTCTGACACGGAAGTGGAAGGATTAAAAGAAAGTTGGTCAGCTGAAATGTATGGATCTTATTTCAAACCAGGGAGTGAATGCACTTCCGCAGCAAATCAAGCCATATTGAACGCCAACAAACTTTGTAAGAGTGGGCGAACAACGGGATATACCGAGATTGACAACAAAATTTTAGGAGCTGTTAAGCCGCCGCAGTTTATACTGGAACGTGCAGAGAGTATATTCGACGGTCCATTCCTCACTTCTTCAGCGAGTGTGTACTTTTGTGAACACTGTGGACGACGCTGTGTCGTTCAATATGAAAGTGGAGCACCTCGTCACTGTAGTAAGTGTAAACGAATCGAAAAAAGGATGCATCAGAACCTTTGGTTTAAAAGGTGCTTGTGCATCCAACAAGTACCAGAAAGGCCTTTTGCATGCAGTGGGGATTCTGGATCGGTGATATTCGAAATGACAGAAGAAAACAACCTCAAAGGTCTTGGTATTCTCTTCGGTTTACTAGAGCATCAATATCATGATTTTATTTTGGCATCACCATTGCAAGTTGTTCTAGAAGCTTTGACCAATAAACTCCCAGCTGGCAGTGGCAGCTTAGAACTGGTTTCAAAGTATGCGTATTAAGAAAAGCGGGTCCAATTTGAAAACAATTGGTACTGTTGTCTGTTGTAAAATTGGCCATATTTGGTCATTTTTGAAATAACTTAATCAATGGTGTCTTTACACACGTGTAGGGACTGAGTGGCGTACAACGATTGTTTATATTCAAAATTATCGGAAATGTTATGCTAAAATTTGCGAATTATTTGGCAATATGCTCTCTCCTTAGTGAAGAGCATCCTTTCTTTAGTTTCCTAGTTTCTTATATTAGTTTCAGTACAAATGTACTTCGCGTGAACTTGCGAACAAATCAGCACAGAAAACTAGCTGAACCTTCGGTTTGAATTGTTCTTAATTTACATATATATCTTTTGATGTATTCATGATACCACCATTTCAATTTACTACCAAAGTTAACTCTTTTAGTGGACTTGGAAAGATTATACCTGCCTGTCTATACGTTTGATTTTCATCCAAAAAATTACATTTATTGTCTGGATTCAGATGATTCAGATCCAGTGGGTAAAATTGTTGCACGCGCTGTTCATTAGCAGTGACTAATAACAGTTCAGTGTATTTACTCCGATTGTACAAATTTGTAATACTATCACGCAAATTAATTAGAAAAAATGGTCGCTACCTGGATTAAGATCCAGGTTTAAAGTAAATTTGTTGTATGAACTGTTCATTAGTAGTGACTAGTAGCAGTTCAGTGTATTTACTCCGATTGTACTATATACAGTGAAGAATTTATAATACTACCGTGCAAATTAATTAGAAAAAATGGTCGCTATCTGGATTAAGATCCAGGTTTAAGGTAAATTTGTTGTATGAACTGTTCATTAGTAGTGACTAGTAACAATTCAGTGTTTTTACTCCGATTGTACAATATACAGTGAAGAATTTATAATACTACCACGCAAATTAATTAGAAAAAATGGTCGCTATCTGGATTCAGACCCAGGTTCAAAGTAAATTTGTTGTATAATCTTTTTATTAGCAGTGACTAGTAACGGTTCAGTGTGTTTACTCCGATTCTACAATATACAGTGAAGAATGTATAATACTACCGTGCAAATTAATTAGAAAAATGGTCGCTATCTGGGTTAAGATCCAGGTTTAAAGTAAATTTGTTGTATGAACTGTTCATTAGTAGTGACTAGTAGCAGTTCAGTGTATTTACTCCGATTGTACTATATACAGTGAAGAATTTATAATACTACCGTGCAAATTAATTAGAAAAAATGGTCGCTATCTGGATTAAGATCCAGGTTTAAGGTAAATTTGTTGTATGAACTGTTCATTAGTAGTGACTAGTAACAATTCAGTGTTTTTACTCCGATTGTACAATATACGGTGAAGAATTTATAATACTACCACGCAAATTAATTAGAAAAAATGGTCGCTATCTGGATTCAGACCCAGGTTCAAAGTAAATTTGTTATATAATCTTTTTATTAGCAGTGACTAGTAACGGTTCAGTGTGTTTACTCCGATTCTACAATATACAGTGAAGAATGTATAATACTACCGTGCAAATTAATTAGAAAAAATGGTCGCTATCTGGGTTCAGACCCAGGTTCAAAGTAAATTTGTTGTATAATCTTTTTATTAGCAGTGACTAGTAACAGTTCAGTGTGTTTACTCCGATTCTACAATATACAGTGAAGAACGTATAATACTACCGTGCAAATTAATTAGAAAAAATGGTCGCTATCTGGGTTCAGACCCAGGTTCAAAGTAAATTTGTTGTATAATCTTTTTATTAGCAGTGACTAGTAACGGTTCAGTGTGTTTACTCCGATTCTACAATATACAGTGCAGAATGTATAATACTACCACGCAAATTAATTAGAAAAAATGGTCGCTATCTGGATTCAGATCCAAGTTCAAAGTAAATTTGTTGTATAATCTTTTTATTAGCAGTGACTAGTAACGGTTCAGTGTGTTTACTCCGATTCTACAATATACAGTGAAGAATGTATAATACTACCGTACAAATTAATTAGAAAAAATGGTCGCTATCTGGATTCAGATCCAAGTTCAAAGTAAATTTGTTGTATAATCTGTTCATTAGCAGTGAGTAGTAACAGTTCAGTGTGTTTACTTCGATTGGACAATATACAGTGAAGAATTTATAATACTACCGTGCAAATTAATTAGAAAAAATGGTCGCTATCTGGGTTCAGATCCAGGTTCAAAGTAAATTTGTTGTATAATCTGTTCATTAGCTGTGACTAGTAACAGTTCTGTGTGTTTAGTGATATTGCTATTATCGTTCCTTTTTTATTAGAGCTAATTTACTTGCTGAGGAAACATAAACGCATCTGAGTGCAGCGCAAGTCTCTCAGTGTCTCATCAACAAAATTGTTATTAGCTGGCAAAGAAATCAGCATAGTGCAGTGTGATAAAATTGACCTTTTGGATTAAGTTTTATTTTAGTTTTTGTAGCTTATGCAGATAAGGTTATTATCTATTACCTATTTGCGTTTTAAGTACCGTTTAAAAATTAAGATATAGGTTAATAAATTTGTTACATGTACTGGTCATTGGCGATGACTACAGAACAGTTCAGAGACATGCATTAATTATAATTAGAGCCATAAATCTTTTTACCTCAATAGTGAGGTAAAACTACTGAGGCAGTAGTGTAAGGCAATTTAATTAGCGCTTTCCACCAAATTTTAAAGATTCCATGAACTAGGAAACAAACCATAATACCCTAATATGGTGAACCTACGGTTGAACACAGGTCACCAGAGCGTAATATGATAGTTTGTATGAGTAAAAAAAGCCTGCAATAAATACGTTAGTTAACTTTATCAGAAAAAAATTCTCAAAAAGGGTGTTGTTCTCTACCTTTCTACTGTTAAGCGTATGTGTAATATGTGGGGCGTAAAATTTGTAGTTCACTCTAAATTGATCGTTAAGTTTTGCAAGAGGGAGAGGAAGGCGGCTCCGTAACTCACAGCCGTTTAATACTATGCCGTAAATGCTGTAATGTGTAGTTCCAAGGAATAGGGCGTTTTTGCATTAGATCCCCCTCCTTAAAATTTCCATTCCAGGGGGTGCTTGTCATACCCCCCTACCCCCTGGTATTTCCGTGATTTTCCTTTTTGGTTGGGAACCGCCTGGAAATAATATTTCCGTAAAGTGAGAAAAAATGTTCTTATGCATGTTATTACATGCTCTAATAAACTCAACTTTGCCCTGTAGAGTTCTTTCTAAGCTAATAATTAACGGTGAGCCACTGCCGAAGAGTGATAACTCGCCCCCGGAAAAAGAAAAAAAGACCATCCCCTCGAAGATTGCCCCCTCCAAATCTCAGTACACAGTCAATGTCGATATCAGAAGCCTAATTAATGGCCATTGTGCTGTCATAGTTAGCCTGGCCTGCGTCGCAGACATCCTAAACCTTCAGTAAGGACTTGACTAATGGTCTAGACGTTGCGTGGGCTGGCTACAACGCAGGCTATCGTTAGCCCATCCTTTCTTTGAACTTGACAGTAAACCAGATTCAATACGCAAACCTTCGTTAAGCAGGCAAAAAAACTGACTAAATTGAATGATTTTGCTCATTTTTTCACTTCCAAGTATTTTGGAGTAATTGTCAAAAGTGGTGAGGGGGGGGATCCATTAGACAGGGGCGTTATGAGATAGGGGCGTCTAATGCAAACTTAAAAGCGGAAGGGAGGGTTTAATTTGGGGAGGGGTGTGAATTGATTGGCTATTCCGAGTTGCCTTAAGCCTCTTTATCAACACGAGGCTAAGTGTAAAGCCGTTGGTATAAAAATGATTTTATATTCTCGTGTAAAACTAATTTTAACAAGAATACTGTTTTGCACTTAGCCTCTTTTTATTTTTATTTTTAAATCTTTCATCAAAAATCTTACGAAAGGCCGCAATCTTGGAATTTCCGACGACTTTCCAAAGGAGGTAGAAGAAATGAGGAAAAAGCTGTACCCAGTACTAAAAGCCGCCAAGCAAGAAAAGCGTACTGCATTTTTCAACTTAGAAAGGCTAATTATAGACGGGTCGCTTTACCGCGGCCCAGAGACAATTGCTTTCCCTCTCTACGGACATTTAATGGACGTATAAATTAGCTCAGAACTTTTATGTTATTATTCACGGCCATATTTAGGGGCCAGTAATGTGCTTTACAAACCAAATTAGCTCGATGCGCAGTCAGTCAACGCCGCTCAAATTCAGAGGTAAGTCATGGAGTTTTTGTTCGTACGTTTCGGGTTTTTGTTTTCTTTTTTGTTTCGTCTTAATTTGTGCGCAGTGAATTTTGCTTCCCTTCCCTAAAGGGGAAAGCGATCCAGGCCATATAAATTTATACTTTTGTCTATGGATTGTGCCACACGGGCAGGGGAAACTATTTCATTTTATAATTGATCAATAAATATGTCATATGTATGTAAGAGGGCTAAACAGTTCTAGAAAAAGAAGTCAGGTTTTTAGATGGCTGCACCTGCAAAGATCGGACATTATTTTCCTCCAAGAGACTTATTCTTCAACGGAAACAGTAAAACGATGAGAAGCCGAGTGGGGTGGGAACGTTGTAGCTAGCCACGGTACAACTCACAGTAAAGGAGTAATGGTCCTGTTTAAACCAAATCTCTATGTCACTACTAACAAAACCTTAGCTGATAAAAATGGAAGATACATTCTCGCAGAAACATCAATCGATGAAACAAACATAGTCTTTGTGAATATTTATGCACCAAATGATCCTTCTCAACAAATCCTTTTCCTAAGGGATCTGTCCAGCTCCAAGTGCTCTGTGTTATCTGCATATGTCAATGAAAACCTTGTATTAGGTGGCGATTTTAACTGCGTTATGAATGCCATGGACAAGAAAGGTGGCAGGCCTTTTGACTCAAAAAATGCAGCAGTGACTGAGTTTGATTCGACAATTAAGGTTCACAGCTTTGTGGATGCATGGCGCATAGTAAACTTGCACAGTATCGGTTTCACTTGGAGCAACCCGTCGATGAAGATGCAAAGCAGACTCGACTATT